GCTAATTGTGAGTCTGCATAATGTACAGGCATGCTCTGGTTTCCATCTCCACATATCCTGAATTAAAAACTTTTTTCTCCTGTAATAAACTGGTAATCTTCTCATTAAAAAATAAATAAAAAATGCCATGTAAATAAAACAATGCCAGAAATGAGTTTCTTAGAACACATGCCAGTTAGGTGAAACGTGGAAACTTTTTTTCTTCAAATATTGTTCGTAATCTCCAGTGAGGGGAAACTGTGTGAAAAATAAACACATCAGAAACTTATGTGTAGTACGCATTATAATTTCCTTGACTGTACGGTATTTTGCACCATACAAACGTTAAACATTTCGTACAAGAGGAATACGTTATTGCGACTGAATAACACATAATAACGCAAAGCTACACGAGGGCTATCTGCGCTAGCCGTCCCTAATTTAGCAGTGATAGACTAAAGAGAAGGCAGCCAGTCAACAACACCCACCGCCAACTCTTGAGATTTTATCTACGAATAGTGGAATTGACCGTCACATTATAACGCCCCCACAGGTTATAAGTGGGGGAGAGCATGTTCTGTGTGACGGAGATTCGAACCCGCGACCCGCAGATTGCGAATCGAGCATATTAACCACCAGGCCATGCCAGGCCTTCTCTTCCTCCTTTGGCGTTAACCTCTCGCACCGGCGGCGAATGAAAATGGTGTACTCATTACAAAAATCATAGGAATTATTTTATTAATATATAATTAAGAAAATTTGGTGCAGAAGTATCTCTCTCTCTCTTAATTGCTTTAAATGAAATACTTTTTTAAATCTAATTTCAATACTTTTACGGAACTGAACTGGTATTCTAAACTGTGTCCCACGATATAATGGAAAATGTGGTTGGGATTTACATCTAATGGAAAACGCAACTAATTCCTTACTGTTCAATGCAAAATGTTACTTCAGAGCAAAATTAACACGACCTGTATTGCCAAATATGTATACATTTGTCCTTTAACAATTGTATTCTTGAGCTTTACTTTTTTCACCACATTACATACTCTACAATGTAGCACGTACGAACAGTGAAATACTAATTTTCAGATATGCATGCTGTTCCCGTAGACAAATAGAACCTGAAATGTTAAGGTTAACTATGGGGCACCGTCACCCCTTTCGAGCATGGAGAGTCGATAGGGGGAGCGCACAACTATGACTATAGAAACATACAAATTATATCTGAAAGCAAAAAATTAAAGTAAACAAGTTATAAAAAAACAATGTAAAATATTAAAGTTAAACAGTAACAACAATTAACATGGGAAAAGGGGGCGCGCAACAAAACGCTTATTAAAAAAGAGGTGGGAGACAAAGCTTGAACATCACAGCTAACACAAACGCCTTTACAAAATAACAGTGTACAGTCTCCATCTATTGATAGCGCACCTAAGCTCCATATCAATATCCTTTGATATCGCAACAGAAAGAAAGAGAGAGAGAGACACACACACACACACACAAGTGGTTGACTTTTACAGGTCTAATAGGATTATTCTATGAACAGTATTTACTTAGCGTGACTCTGTGGCCTTTTGAGAGCTTAAGTTAAAAACCTTAAACCTCTTCTTCCTAAAGAATGAAGAGACATGTAGTATAATTCCACTGAAATACGGCTTAATTCTCAAAGATGTTGTTAATAAGGCTTAGACTTTGTGTTTTTAAAAACCAAATGAAACGTCATAACAGTTTACGTTACGCCACACTGAGATAATAGTTAACCAGAACAAACAAACATAACTGTGAGACAAAGTTATTTTAATGTTTGTTTTGTTGTTCTTAAGTGAAAGCACTGCATTCAAAATGTGCATGGTTTGTTAATTTCTGTTTCCATAAACCGAAATTTCTTTAAATTGTCTAATATATTTATACGAAAGAATATATGCTAATATAGAGTAACACGTCTTGTCGCACACAAGAAAAAAAGCTGTGAAGTACAGAATGATGATCTCTTGATAGTGACGTATAACTAAAAATAGTTTACTAATGAGGAACGCTAAATTAATAAAAGAATTAAAATTCTCTTTCTGGGGGGTCTAGTTTTAAAACTACAAAAATAAAACTAAAATGAGATTGTTGTTTTTTGGCCAACGTCGCAGAAAAAACGATTGTGGTACAGTATTTCCCGTCCAACCGTTAATTGATGGCCAGGTGGTTAGGGAGCTCGACTCGTAATCTGGAGGTTGCGGGTTCGAATTCCCTTCCCATCAAACATGCTCGCACTTTCAGCCGTGGGGGTGGGGGGGGGGGCGGTTATAATGTTACGGTCACTCCCACTAGTCGTTGGTAAAAGAGTAGTCCAAGAGTTGTCGGTAGATAGTGATGACTGGCTGCCTTCCCTCTAGTCTTTCACTGCAAAATTAGAGACAGCTAGCGCAGATAGCCCTTGGGTAGCTTTGTGAGCCACACTCGGTTTCCCCGTTCAGGAAAATACTAACTTGCAAATAACAAGAGATTCAAAAGGAAGTGCAACATACAAGTCACTTTGCAGTAAGAAAGGAGTTAAAACAGAGAGAAATCGTCTTTTTTCATAATAAAAGGTAGAAAATGTGTATAAGTGCACTTGATGATTAGACAGAGCATTTATCTTACTGTTGAAGAATCTTTTAAGAGGGAATTCTAGAATATTATTGAATGAAATATTTTTACAAACTAAGAGCTATCCACTACATACAAACCAATAGGTGCAATACTTTGAGGTTTACTTTCGAATAATTGGGTTGACAGAAAATGTTAAAGTATATGTTCTTTATTTTGACTAAGCATAGAGTAAAGAAAGAGACTGAGCACAGTGAAGAGCATTTAAACACAATAAAAACGGTGAGTATTTAAAATGGAGGATATTACTTTTACTGGAAATTTAAAAATCTGCAATCTGCAACTCTGTTAAAAGTCGATGAAAATCTGAAAATTCTGCTCCATACCATATAAAACAAACCATTATAATTACCTCCACAGTTCTAAACTACTATTCTTCTCAGAGTGCATGTGATACCTACGCAGCTGTTGGTAATTCCAATACAAAAATATGGGATGTTGCATCTTCAACATATCACTTGAAACTAGTGGGAAAGATCGCTGTCTACTTTCACATAGTGTGCTGAATGTTCTACTTTACATCGATATTTCCCACAAGAAAATTCATAAGCTACCATAGGAGATTGACCTAGAAGAATAGGCAACTAGAGTGAAAGGAACTTTAGCCACTTCCTTGAACTATGTTCTACTCTAAACCTACATGCACTATATGCAAGAAAAGTTTGAAAAAGATTCTTAGTGAACTTTAAGTGTTCACATAGCTAAATAGATGTGGTAGAAAACATCTAATGTGCTCAAATACTAAAAAAGGGAATCTCTATTATGGGTATGCATCCCACGTCGCTGTTGGTAAACCACGGATACATCCTCAAGGTACCAGAACATTCACCAACGGTTTAAGACCACAGCCAATATATACAGTGCATTCTATCTACGCATGCTACAGAAATCTTGCCCAAGAAAAGATGTATGTGATAATATAGCGGAATGACTCACAACAGCATGTAACTACAACGACTACAATTTAACTACGTTTGAGAACCAACTCTATTTTTAAATCTATACATGCGCCAAAATACCCAGAACACGAGTATGTGCAAACAATTATTTTTTTAATTCTTGGCAAACAAGAAATGTTCACCTGTATGAACTAAAACAGAAAAAGAAACACAAACAACATACAACACAATTTGGTGCTATATATAAATGGTTCCTTTCGAGAACCAAAAAACGTAATACATTTATGCAATTTCTTATAATCAGTTCTGTTGAAATACACATTTCTCAATAATATAAAGCCACCAGTGGCACAGCGGTATGTCTGCGGACTTACAACGCTAGAATCCGGCTTTCGATACCCGTGATGGGCAGAGCACAGATAGCCCATTGTGTAGGTTTGTGCTTATTTACAAACAATAATATAAACTACTACACACGAACTGGATCACCAGTAACTACACAAAAACAGCGCCGAACTTGTTTTCATAGTTCACCTATACGACCAAATTCATTATAAAGAAAATAGGCGCTTGCTATTAACTTTTTCATCGTATGTAAATTTTCCCTTTGGATCGTACAGACAGATCTACAAAATGTTACAAAACAGAATAAAATGCTCAAAAGTTGGGGGCTGTTCACGAAAACCGGTTGCATCTGGTAATTTTAACATACAAGATGGTTAAAACTATATTTTTTTCCACATCTTGTAGGTTGGTTGTTAAAAATCGGTTGTGATGGTCTATATTTTTACACATCTTTACGTATAAAACGGAGTTTCAACATGCAGTATCCATCTTATATTGTGGAAAAACAATTTTGAAACCGGTCTTTAAGGGTGAGACAAAAAAAAACACGTATTTATCAAACCCACTGTTAGTTTCCTGTGTTTATGATAAAGTTGATGGGAAAAGCCCATTATGAGGAACTCAATTGTTGTATTGAAATATTCACGTTTCGTGTAGAGCAAGGTAACAAAGCCACTAATACGTTCACAGTTCCTAATGTGCGACTTGGAAAAATGTTATGAACTTATAAGTGTAAGTAAAAAATGAGAATATGTTATAATATGTAAACCATTTTTCATCTGCAATATCCAGTACCGATGAGGCCATTTCTTAAATACCAGAGCTTATCAGGTCGGCTGAGATACGATAAAATGTTGTTCTGTTTTATCCTATGTTATAAGAAAAATGTTTATCTGGTTCCGTTGTAACGTCGTGTTAAAGCACTAATCAAATATTGTTGTATTTTGGTCGGAAAAAAACGTTACCTCTTGTACTTTGGTGATGGAAAACAAATATCCATTACTAACTCTGTTTTATACCTACAAATCCAGCAAAACATGATAATTCCGAAGTTAGGTTCTACTTAATGTTTTTAATTACACTGTACGAAAAATAAAGACTCGGCTTATAAATAAATGATAAAAAAAAACTTACGACAATTCTCTTCATCCGACCAGTCGCCACAGTCATTGTCTCCATCACATTGGTAGGACAGAAGTATACAACGCGCGTTCGTACACCGGAACTGGCCTGAGGGGCACGTGACTTCCGTCTGTGGTCCCTTCACTACAAAATAAAAGTATTTTCATCAGTCTCTAAGGGATTAAAGAGAACTTACTTCACTTAAGCCAAGTTAAAAAGCAAGGCCACATAAAAAAGAAACCATGTACGTGTGCCTACAACAGAGGTTTAAGTACGGTAATTATCATGGTCTCACTCATATCCAATGAATTCTGTAAAAAATTATCAGGCTAAATGCGACAGTGAGTCATGGGTGTTTGAACTGTAATGAATCGTAACATATCTGTTATTACAAAAAACAAATAAAAACAAACAGGTTACTATACATACACATGGTAAAAGACGTATAACAGTTTTATAATCCATGGGCAATACTTTTCTGCACCAGCTTTTATTATTTTTCAAGTATAGAGCGCTAAAGCAAAGCGGCGCTTTCACACCATCAATAACTGATTTTCACACCAAGCCCAACTTTCTGATACTCGCAGAATGACTGCCGAAGATAAGATAACTGTGACTTTCACGGTCTTATTGTTACGTCAATACTTCGGAAGATTCTCTCAAATGACTAATTCAAAGTCCAAAGTGATTCCATATGCCACTAAAGTTAAAAAAGGTACGACTTTTTATATTGATGTTCTTTAGAGTATCAATAAGTCTTTTACTGTATTCGTAAAGCTGTACAAGTCTCCATAATACTAGTTATTGTGTATATTATATAGATTAACTACTTGAGCTTGGTAGATAATATATAGGTATGTTTACGTCTTAATAACAAATGCTGTGTGCCATGTGTTCTGAAATTTATACTAAAAAAATGACAGGTTGCGAATCGCATGTAATAGGTCCGGCTCACCGATAAGACTTATCTCTCCCCCCCCCCTAAAAAAAGTAATGAAATAATATTAATTAAGTTTAGTAATAAACTCTGAGTAACTAACAGTAAAGCTGAATAATGGAGAATTATTAAAAACTGTGGTAAATAAATTCTCCCGGATTTTTAGAAAAACGAGTTTTTGAGAAATACTAATCCTAGAACCAAATCAGCTATATAGGTTACCCAAAATTCATGAAGAAAAATTTTTCTTATATGCCCAATTTTATCAGTTTATGAATACTAATTAAAATTTAGATATATTTCTTGCTTGGGTGTTGGTACTTTCTGATAACACCACTTCCTCCTCCATAAGTAAAATCAGTAGACTTTGCTCAAAAGCATTTGATTCCATACTTCAATGGTTAGTTCTGATGCGACATCTTTGTTTAATTAAATCTTAGCTGAAGAACTGTAAATTTGCTGAGTTACAAATTGATGATAATCCTCGAACCTCTGCTCACCCAGTGGTACAGAACTACGTCTGCGGACTTACAACGCTAGAAACCAGGTTTCGATACCTGTAATGGGCAGAGCACAGATAGCTCATTGTGTAGCTTTGTGCTTAATTACAAACAAACTCGAACCTCTCTCTCTTTTTTAAAACTTTAAATCTATTAATATCAGGGGTGAAATTCTCAAAAAAAGTAGAGGCACTCAACTGGGTAAAGTGGACCTGTTTACGAAAAAAGAAAATCTACGTGTAAACATAAAAAACGACAAAGCAGCTCAAACAAGTCCCTGTACTAGTACCGCCTCAAAAATAAGTTCCGGTACTTAGTACCGGTGAGTACTAGCAGAATTTCACCCCTGATTAATACCTTACAATACCCCACAAACTAACTGTTAAAGTTCAAGGGTCTGCATTATTTATCTAACTGACAGTGTTAGCCTTGGACATACCATTACTCCTGCATTAAAAAACGAGATTTATCTACTGTGTTGTTTCCCTCTTGTATTGGATATGTTATGTAGATAATATCTTCGTTGATTTCTTTCGAACCACATGCCAAATTCTTGTTTTTTCCCCCTCATCTCCTAAACACCCAATATTTCCCTGTTAAGTTTACTCTAAAAAAAGAACTCAATGTTATATTTTCTTTATGTGGATTAGATATCAGTTTCCAACAACCCTATCAACACTGAAATTCAGCTCCTTATTCCCCCCCCCCCAAAAGTAGATGTGACAAAAACCTTGTTTGCTAATGTTACATATATTTATATTTCTACGTTTTAACTTAGATAACGAATTTTATCACGTTAAGAAATCTTCAATTCCATGTATTACTGACTTTCCACAGTCCTTGTTGAACGTATATTAATAGATTCTTTAAAAAAAATATCTTCCGAGTTAAACGAATTTTCTTTTTCGTTCTCTATTCTACAGAAGTCTTTTTATAACAAATATTTTGAAACAATTTAAGAAATTTTCTTATGTGAACATTAGCTAAGACATGCAACTTCGCTCCTGGTGTAAAATTAAATATATTTAAATAACAAATTAACAAAAACAATATAACTATGCTACACGATTGTTATATAAAGTAAGCTGGATAATCGTTTACTGTTACACAATCGTTCATCCTCTTGTTGAACAAAAACAGGCCGTAAAATATTGATGAATTAATATTTTAACCAAAGGAAAATCAAAGATCTTTTTTAAAAAAGTTTAATAAATCTTCCATAGAAACATACTTAAGATAACAATGGTTCGGGCTGACTTGAATTGGAATTTAAAAATAACGGCGGCGACGGATATCTACTGCAAAAAGACAGGTTATGGTTATCGTCAAAAGAGAAGCTGTGGTATGCATGTGCTGGTAAATTGACAAACAACGATATATTTGTTAAAAACAGACTAAATTTCTGTTCAAACATGTCTTCGACAGAAAATAATTTTCATTATGCTTATTGATCGTTGTTTGTCAGTTTACTATTGTATTAGAGTAATATGCTTCCGTTCACAACTCTGTGTGTGTGTGTGTTTATATATATGTGATGCTACTTTTCTTAAAGGCTATGGTTACTGCTGACAAACTGGCTACATGTAGTTACAAACCAAGACAAGTGCACGGTTCGTTCAGAAGAAAATATTTACTTTATTGGCGTGTTTATTACCTCATCACACAATGTTGATGTTCACAATACGACGGTGGACATAATATAAAGTTGCATTTGAAAAAAGTCAAGACACAGTGACACAACTAATGAAAAGTTTGACATTACATATCTCATGTTTATTTTAGTAATATTGTATGTCTAAGTTTTTCCTTACTACAAATACCATGTTCAACTACTATATATACACTGCTAAAGAAACCGATTCACATGCTTCAGAAGAACACTGGTATAAGTGCATTAATGGAAAGGTTGAGCCTTAGAGCGTACGCTGCGACCCGATGGGTCAGTAAGTTTATGGACTTACAACGTTAAAATCCGGGGTTCGATTCCCAGAGGTGGAGAGCGTGAAGATAAGACTATTGTATAGCTTTGCGCTAATAAAATAATATACGCTATATTTACTGACGTGATACAATGAGAATAAAGCTGGAATGTTTTGTTTTTTTAAACTTAATTGAATGAAAAACAATCTAAACCAACAGTAACATTTCCCTTACAACATTTCGTATTTCAATGCAGCGATACAGCATCCGATATATATTTTGCTCAACAAATAAGAACATTTTTTTTTACGTGGATCAACATTATGCATAAAAAAAAAATCAACCCGGCACACTGAAAGTGGGTAAAAATAAAGGGGAAAAAAACTTGGGAGAGAGGTGGTTATGTTGTATGATTACTAACTGAAAAAAACAACAACAAAAAACACAGCGGATATACCAAGTTCGTTGGTCTACCATACGAAGTCCCTTTATAATTTCAACTATACTCAGTGCACTAATGTATAGTGTAAATAATTCCATATCAGTCATGACTAATAGGTGTTATTTTGAAATACGCTCATTTTCAATGTAATAGCTCCTCCTCTTATAACCAAAACATGCTCGTTTCTCCGAAGCCTGATGATCACATCGATTGGAAAGCCATACACAACACATCCATCACTTACAGTTAAGGATTTAACTCTCATTAGACAGCTCCCAGTTACTCTTGATCCTTTTAAAACTGGCATCAATCTCAAATATCCGTTTCAGGGCTTGTCAATACTTGCAAAAGTTTCGTGTGTTTTTATTTTCTTTCACGTACACTATCCACATTCAAATATGTATAAAACCTCTCACAACGTTAGCTCGAGGTCTGTTTTAAGAAATACAACTTTCTTGTTAGTTCGGAGTATTCCAGGTGAGGCTTAACTAGCAATTTGTATAGAAAGATAATTATCTCATTTGATTTTTATTGAACATATTTATTATACATAAACCCTAAAATACTATTAGTTTTATTACTAACAACAGAGCATTGCATCGATGGCTTGAATGACTTCACCACTATGCTAAAATTCTTTTATTTTTCTGTAACACAATTGAGTGTATTCTCGTCCATATTAAACATATGATCCAAATTATAATAACCCAAATGTATTATCTTGCACTTTCTATAATTAAATATTATTTGTCAAATCTTTGTCCAACTAAACAATTGATCCAAGTCACTCTGTAGTACCTCAACATATATAAATAAAGTAAAGACCCAAGCACTGAACCCAGAAGCCCTCCACTAGTAAGACAGATCCAGTTTCAAGGGCGTCCGCGTGGAGGGGGGAGCACTTGCACCCCTGGAAGATGAGAAACAATTATTTCTTTAGCCATTCATAATATGTATAAATTTCTGCGAACACCCATGTCCAGTGTGACTGAACCCCATTAATAACATTTATTTTATTTCCATCAACCATCCTATAATCCAATTTACTAGTTCTTTCTCCATCCCCAATCAATGCGAACACCCATGTCCAGTGTGACTGAACCCCATTAATAACATTTATTTTCTTTCCATCAACCATCCTATAAGCCAATTTACTAGTTCTTTCTCCATCCCCAATCAATGCGACTTTCTCAGCTTTAAGAAGATATGCTTTCTCTGAACCAGGTTATCCTATTACTTCTGGCCTGTATATTTTTTTATAATTTGCTTGGAGTTACTCAAACCGTTAATTTAAAAAATCTTACAAGTTCCATTTGTATACCTTACATATCTCCAAATACGTTAA